TTCAACTTTATCTCCAAGTGAGGAGTGGGAAGTTTTGAGAGTATTACATTTCTTAGGTTCACTGCTGCTAAGTGGCACATTTGGGGTCTAAAGCCAGATTATAAAGCCAGTTCATTTTACCATTTATTTTAAAAATATGAGTGGTAGAATATAGCCTCTAAGAACTGTTTAAAAACATGAAACATTTTTATGTGACCTTTTGTTTTGAAACAAATCCTTGTATTGCCTAGACGATACACAATGTATGTTGAAAATTATCATTGTATATCCTTGTATATCCTAAACTTTGGGCATAGTTGAAAACTAGGTAACTCTGGAATATTAAAATAGGCTAATGTGATATAGACCAACTGCATAGTTATTTTAGATTGAGTGGACTAAGGTTGCCTATCTAACATGAAACATGTATCATATACGCCCAAAAGTAGGTGTAATATGTCAGTATACTTTAAAGAATAATACATTGAATGCCTATTACCCTGCCACCAAGAAAGAAATAAAATATTGTCAGTAATTTAGAAGCCCAAAATGTGTTCCTTTCAGGTCACAATTTCCTCCCTTACAACACCTTCCCCGACCTCTTTGCCTGAAGCAGCCATGACCCAGAATTTTGTGTTGATCATTGCATTCATTTTCTTTAAAATTCAACTACATTGTGTATAACTCTAAATTTCATTGGTTTGCCTATTTTCGAACTTTCTAAAAACAGACACTTTTGTCATTCTGTTAGTTGATTCTTAGATTTGACATAAAGTTTTTGAAATCATGCATTTTGATGAAGTCAGTAATTAATACATATCTCTGCTATATGTTGTTCCATTGTCTGGATATATATTTGTACATTTGATATTATGAACAAAGATGTTTTGAGTTTTTTTAATAGATTGCTCCTGTTTCCATATGAAGAATTTCTCTATGGCAGGGATTTTTTTTTTAATATTTTATTTTATTTTATTTTTTATGAACATATAATATATTTTTATGGCAGGGATTTTTAACCTTTTTTATGCAATGGCATAAATGGCCATTGCACCCTTGGGAAGTCTTTCCTTTAAAAATATTTTATTACTTGAGAGAGCAGAAGATTGAGAGGGAGAGAGAGAGAGACCGTGCGTGCGTGTGGACATGCACACACGAGTGGGAGAGGAGGAGAGAAGGGGCAGAAGGAGAGCGAGAAGCAGTTTCCCGACTAAGCGTGGATCCAACATGGCCTCGATCCCTGGGCCCTGAGATCATGACCTGAGCTGAAGGCAGATGCTTAACCAACTGACCCACCCAGTCTCCCCAACCCTTTGGAAATCTTGTAGGCCTATGGAACTGTAGGGACTGAGGTCAGGTCACTTCAAGATGGGGCCACATTGACGTAAAGATTATTTTGAGCTGAAGGCAATCAGGACCCTGCAGGCTCAAAAGAAACTTTTGCCCTTCTCTTAAGTACATAGAAAAATCCAAAGATCTTTGCCAGCATAAGGGTTATTACCAGAGATAAATTTTATCTGAGTTGACCCATCTGTATGGAAGGACAAACATCTGATTACCAAATGTCTGCTCTTCTTACTGCCCTATTAATTGCATTCTTTTCCTGTGAAGTTCTAGAGCCCTACACATTTCTCTTCAGTTCAGGATGACATATATACCTCATTTTGCCTCTTCAGAATTTCCATATCTATTTGGATTCATACATATGCTATTAGATTTAGTTTTCTCCTGTTATTCTGTCTCTTGTCAATATGATTCTTAGTACACCTAGAAGAACCCTTGGAGAGGAGAGGAATTCTTGCTCCCTTATACAACCCTAATGTTTCACATGCTTCGCAAATACACAGGTTTGCAAAGAAAACATATACAGCTAAAATGATCAAAATATGAAAGTAAATTCTTTTAAAGTTTATTTATTTATGTAATATCTACACCCAACATGGGGCTCAAACTCACAACCCCAAGATCTAGTCACATACTTTTCTTTTTTTTTTTTAAATTTTTTATTTTTTCAGCATAACAGTATTCATTATTTTTGCACCACACCCAGTGCTCCATGCACTCCGTGCCCTCTACAATACCCACCATCTGGATCCCCCAACCTCCCACCCTCTGCCCCTTCAAAACCCTCAGATTGTTTCACATACTTTTCTAACTGAGCCAGCCAGGTGCTCCTGAGAATAAATTATTGATACAGAATCATTGGATTTGACAGCTATCGTAATGTAAATAGTGATGAGCATAAAAGAAATTTGTGTATGTTTGTAACACTTCTGGATGTAACTTGACAATATCTATGATATTTATTGGTCACAAAGTCATTGGTCCTATTAACAATACTGTTTTTTGTTGCCTACATTCATACTTAAAGGAAATGCTTATTTTCAGTTAGAAGTTGGTGACAGTTGTTAAAAAACAAAATTCAACCGAGTAAATTTTGAAGATCTAATTGCCTTTATTAAATGATTCATGATGGGGGATCTGGCTGGCTCATCAGTTAAGCAGCCAACTCTGGATTTTGGCTCATGTCCTGGTTTCAGGGTTCTGGAATGGAGCCCCACATTGGGCTCCACACTCAGCAGGGAGTCTGCTTGAAGATTCTCTCCCTCCCTCACCGTCTGCCTCTTCTTCTGCTTGCACCTGCTCTCTCTTAAATAAATCAGTTTTTAAAAAGATTCATGAATTGGGCAGCATCTCCCACTAGTAAGTGGAGGGATGCTCTGAAGAGGAGTACAAGAAGGAAGGTTTTTATAGGGATGAGGGTGGGGCAAGAGAATTATAAACAAAGGAAGAGGAAGGATTGTTCAAGGGAAGGTCCCTTTCTCTTGGTGGGGGTGGTGGAAGAGCGGGGATTCTTATGCAGATTACCTCATCTTTAGGGGCTTGGAGAGGGCCACATGACAGTCTTAGTGGCACCTATCTGAAAATTCCTGACTGACCAGTTAAGATTATATTTCTGGGAAAGGTTGATATTGCAATTAGATATTAAGTCCTAGTTTACTGACTTGGGGCCTTAACTGAACTGATGCCATTTTGGGCCTGCGTTTTTAATTAGTTTTTTTTTTTTTTTAACACAATAGAGATGTAATTTTTTTCCCATCTAAGTTACCAGACCCTCTGTATTGTACCATAGAAACCTTGGGGATCTGTGTACTGGAAGCACTGTGTTAGAGTATGTAGCTAGGAATGGAATTGCTGGGTCATAAGATACGTACCATATTCATCTCTACTAAACAATGACAAACATCTTACAAATTCATGCCCTTACTCATAGTGTATGGGGTTTTTCTGACCAATTTGTCCATTTGGTCTGATGAGTATGAAGATGCATTTTTACACCTTACATAAGAAATAGGTATCAAGTAAAGGCTGGAGGAAATTATACGTGTGCAAAGGCAATAATCCACTTGATGGTGTTCCTACATCGTTTTGTCCAAAGGTCCAGCTCATGCAGCTCTGCAGAAGGAAGCAGGAGAGATCCATCCAGTGCTGTCTGAACTGGGTAGGAAGGAGGGCAGTAGCTCTACGTGTAAACTTTAGATGCCTGTATTTTGGTGACATCCTTGGCTAAGTACCTTCATGCAATATTCTAAGGGCCACTAGATGGTGGTATAGACTACTTTTCCTTCATTAAAGCAGGAACTAGCCTGTGCTATTTTTACTGTAATTTTTGAGTTCCTTTAATTTAAGCTATAGTCATTTAGTGTGGAGTTACCTCACAGTTCCCTTTTTTGGTGTGTGCATGATACAGGATTATTTACCAGAAGAGAAACATTTCAGTAAAGGATGTTGACAAATTCAAGTTTAAAATTTGAAGATGTGAAGATGTAATTGGCTTTATTCAACAAGTCATGAATTGGGCAGCATCTCTTGAGTAAATAGCTATGTGAAGAGTTGTGCAAAATGGAATAGGCAGAAGGAGGGTGGGGCAAGGAGGTTATTAGCAAAAGAAAAGACAGGATTGTTTCAGTTTTCATTCAGTGTTTCTTAAGTTTTCTACTCATGTTAGTGAATATTTTTGTTAAGCACCTGTTGTGTGTTGAGCATTGAGTCTTCTTCAGCTTGTCAACATGTCTTGATATTTCTCTACCAGCCTCCTAGTTGCTAGTCTTCTTGGAATTAGTAGTAGGAAAGATTTGTGTGTAACTCAGTATTAAATATAGTATGATTTTATTTGAAGTTATTTGTATTTAAATTGTTTTTATTAGTAAAACACATGAACATATGTGTTTAATATATATTATTATATCCCTTTTTAGATATCTTGTATTAATTGGCTTTTTGTTTTGCATTTAAAAGTGAATTCTAGTGCCAGTTTATTTAAAATGTTTAAACATTTTAAGTTTCTCATTAATAAATATAATTATTTCTTGAAATAGTCTTTGCAGGTCTATTGCTTTGAGTAATTTCTGTGCCTTCCAGCTGGTGTTGGAGAGAGATGTTATGGGAGAAGTATTTTTGTAACTTTTGCTACTTATTTTAGATTGCTACTAAATATGTTGGTTTTTTCCCTGCATATAAAATGAGACACTTTCTAGCTTAAAACAGTCATGCACTTAGTTTGTGATATATTTTTTTCATGAAGTTCCTCTTTCAAATGATCCGTTATCCACTGTTCTCCAGTATATTTCTTTTCACTTCTACAAGCTGCCATAGATACCTACTGAGTAATTAATTCATTTTAATGTATTTTAGCTTTACTTGACCATCATTATTTTTAACAGCATCTTTATAATTTTTTTCATGTATATATGAGAAATAATTTACATTTCTCTGATTTCTTGTGAATTCAGCATCTTTCCATAATTTCGTAGGTCATATTGTTTTCATTTTTCGAGATCTCACTTTATTACTGTTGCCCAATTTTCTATTGTATTGTTCAACTTTATATTACTGATTTGAAGTCTTGCTGGAGAAGCCTGGAAAAGAAGAGCAAGGCGATATCAAAACAGCCTCAGATAATAGGTGACCTTCGGTGTTGGTTTCCTGTAGAATCCAGAGAAACAGACCTGCTCAGCAGGATGGACGGCAAAGGCTCCTACCAGGTGAAGGGCTGGAAGCTCACACAGCAGCAGTTTGTGGCCCTTCTGTGGAAGAGGCTGCTGATTGCCAGACGGAGTCAGAAGGGATTCTTTGCTCAGGTGACAAAGTGCTGCTCTAGGCCAGCAACTCTGGCTTCACGGGTGGGCTGCGGGCTCCCTGACCAGTGAAGGCAGGAGAAGGTCATGGGTATGGGGTGGATGCTGGAGCCAGACTTTTCATCTTTCAATCCCAGTCCTGCTTCCTGACACTCATGCATCTGTGGTCAAGTTACTTCTCTGTGCCTCCTTGTCCTCATCTTTAGAAATGAAGATAATGTGCCTATGACGTAGGGCTGTTATGAGGATTCAAATGAGTAAGTGCTTAGAGTGGGCCTGGCATTAAGTAGTGCTGTGTGTGTGTGCACATTTGTGTGAGTTTTATGGTAGAAGACAGCGTAACAAAGACAGATGTAACTGTCCCTCAGAAAAATATACTGCTTAAAATATAAATAATTAGAAATTGTACCGGTCACACAAGCATGCTTAAAGATGATCTTGAGAAGAACATGTACTACCAGCGGGCCTCTGGTGGAGAGAATGGTACACATCTTGGAAGCTGAGCAGCTGGGAACACCTGGCTGGCTCCTGGCGAACACCAACCACCTGCTTCCCTTTTTCATTGTCTCCCCTGCCTCAGAGAAAGCCTGCTGTTAAGGTAATCCCTTTAAGTGCGCTTGCTCAACTACTAATTCCTTGCTGGTTGACCAGGCACACCCTACTCTTCTTGTTTTCCCGTAAGACTTATGATCAACATATGACTCAAATTCCTTCTTGTTTACCTACAAGACCTATGGCTACTGTATAACCTTCTTTGTTGGTTGTTACCTTGTATCTAATAAATACAGGACTCAGGAGTTTTTCTGGACTGAGGAGTTTTTCCAGCCACAGTCCTTTCAGTTGTTGTCCCCTGCTCACTCTCTGTTACAGCTGACGTGTTTGTGCCTCCTTCTCCTGTGTGCCATCAGGAAGCAGCAGACAGAGTTTAGAAAAATTGGCTGGGCAAATTCAGTTTTCATAACCTGAGACACACTTGACATATAAACTTTTTGGAAACGTGACTTTTCTCTAAGTTGATGTTTAACTGCAAATTGATAGAAAGGTAGCCAGACAGGTCAGAAGAAAATGGGAAAACAGAAAAGACTCATTACACTGCTGCCTATGTGTTGGTGTTTCCATGCTAAGGCACTTGGTGAGTAGGGATAAAATTATCCTGCTGTATAAAATCGAGAAGTACAGAGAAAGCATCTGCAGAAATTCTTCCCTGCAGACTATGTGGGTAATGTAGAGTATGAGTTTGGAGCACAGAGACCTGGGTTTGAATTCTGGTTCTGCCACTTACTGGCCGTGTGACCTTGGGCAAGTTACTTAGTCTCTCGGAGATCGATTACTTTGCTTTTTGATTGGTGATAGGGTTGTAACAATAATGAAATGAGATAATTGTCATATAGTATTTTCTCAGAAAGAAGGATTTCGGTAATGACGCTTTTTGAAGCCATTCCATGGTGACAGCGGTTGCTGTTCCCTTTCAGAGTGTGGGATCTGACAGGGTCCGTTGGTCTTGGTCTGTAGATTACAAGTGAGATTACTGAGGCCACAGCGGGAGTGACTTCCTGTGGATACATTTGTGGCAGACACAGAACCAGGCTTTGTGTCTTCTGGCTCCTGGTGCAGGGCTGGTTCTGTCGGCCTTTCTCTGAGTTGAGCTGGGCTCATGGCCCATCGTGTTCTTTCTTGGGTCTTCAGAGGGAAGAGGGTAGGACCCAGTGTTCTGAGTCCCGCTGACATGTGACCACCATTTTCTCTGTAAAGTTTTGAGCTTCATGTCTCTGCTGGGTGGCCACAGCCTCTGGCTTTGTGCTGTCAGCCTCCAGAAATGCGCTGGAGGGAGGAGGTTTTGGTTTCAGGATCTGCTGCTTCCCACCTGCCATGAATACCTTGGTGGCGCTTTGTTCTGGGTCCTGTGGCACTCACTTGCATGCTGCCTGGTTTGGGAAGCTGGCTGGACTGTTAGGGGCTTGTGCCAGGCCCCTTTCTCTGACATTTGCCCTTGTTTTTTGTTTTTTTTCTTTGCCATTTCCTTTCCTCCTCTCTCCCCTGGTTGTAGATCATCCTGCCAGCTGTGTTTGTCTGCATTGCCCTGGTGTTCAGCTTGATCGTGCCCCCCTTTGGCAAGTACCCCAGCCTGGAACTTCAGCCTTGGATGTACAACGAACAGTACACATTTGTCAGGTACGTGTTTGCTTTCTGTGCCCCAGGAGAGAAGAGAGCTCAGGCAGACACGAAGTGTTGACACTGCTGAGGGCCAAGGGGAGGTGGACTCAAGAATCGCACGGTGGAATAGATTTTATCAGCTGTTCTAAAGCCCTGACACAAACTAATATCGTATGCAAAGAATGGCAGCGATTAAACCTGAAATGATAGTCCTCTGTTGTCATGTTTGAACTTTATTCCTCTTTATACTGGTATTGCCAGGTACAGTTATATGTATTTTAAGAAAATAATATGCCCTTCTAAAATCTATGATTAAGTTATTAATGTATTTGGATATTTATAGCTATGTTAATTTTGTGGTTGTGTTAAAGTATTTGTATACACTGTACCTCCAGGAAGTTAATGCTTTGTTTTCTCCACAATGCAATTCTTGCACTTTTTATCTGTTAAGTTTTAGATATTAGCTAGTATTTGTTCTTTAGACAAAAATACCCCTTACTTATAACAAACAATCCGACACTTCAAACAAAAGGTTATAGGAATTTCGTAATCTTGTCAGGCAGAATTTTGTTTTTTCATATCTGTAGGATTTATAAATCTTTGGGTGGGGAAAAACTTGTCAGTGATATCAACTCAAGGAAATTTGAGATGTCCAGGTTGCTTGGTTTAATGGTTAAGGGTCCAACTCTTGATTTTGGCTCAGGTCATGATGTCAGAGTTATGAGATCAAGCCCTGTGTCAGGGTCTGGGCTCAGTGGTCTGCTTGAGATTCTCTCTCTCCTTCTCCCTGTGCTCCTTCTCTCCACACTCACAATCTCTGTCTTTCTCTAAAACAAGTAAATGTTTAAAAAAAGAACAAGGAAGCTTTCTTTTAAAACAGTTATACTTTATGTATGTAGTATACTACATATAGTGTATACACATTGTATACACATAAAGTATACATATAGTATGTAGTATGTATAGTATATATATACACATATAGTATTTATACTATATTTATTAGTGTGTGTGTATGTGTATATATAGCATAGTGTGTGTATGTATATGTGTGTATACATATATAGTATATATACTATAGTTTAGTGTGTGTGTGTGTTTGTGTGTTATGGCTCAGATTTACTTTATTCTTTCTTTTCCAGGCTCACCTTGTGTTGCTCATGGCTGTAGACCATGGGTTTATCTCATGTTTATAATCTGTGCTCATTATTGTTTGTATTTTTTAGTTGTTCATGCAGATAAAATCTGCCTGACCTTTGTAGAAAGTCCTGGTTGTCAGTGCCTCAGTGGATAATTGTGAAAGTACTTTTGAAATATTGATCCTTACTAAGTTTGTGAAAGTAGTCCATGCCCAGAGGGGGCCTTAAACTCATGACCCTGAGATGAAGACTTAAGTAAGATCAGGAATCCAACGCTTAACTGACTGAGCCACCTAGTTGCCCCTGAAAGTCCTTTTGAAGTACAGATCCTTAATAAGTTTCTTTACTTAACATTAAAATACATATGTAAATGTGTATTATGTATGTGTGTTTGTACAGATATATGTGCACACATACACCCAACTTACACGTATTTATATAGTCCCCATTCTAGATTGCTGGTTATCGTCCTGATATCAAATGTATGGCTAGTGTCTAAGGTACTTATAGGTGAGACTGTGTTTTACTCATCTTTGTGTTAAGAACCTAACACTCAGGAGGTGTTTAATAAAGTGTTTACTTTGAAAAACTTTACCTCCTAGTTCCCATTTTTTTTTTTAAGATTTTATTTATTTGACAGAGAGCTTACAAGTAGGCAGAGAGGCAGGGAGAAAGGGGAAAGCAGGCTCCCCACTGAGCAGAGAGCCTGATGTGGGGCTCGATCCCAGGACCCTGAGATCATGACCTGAGCCAAAGGCAGAGGCTCAACCCACTGAGCCATCCAGGCACCCCCCCCCAGTTCCTGTTTTTAATGAATTACTGAACTGGCTGCTTCTTATGTACCCACAGTGATGACACTCCTGAGAATGTGGGCACCCAGGAACTCTTGAATGTCCTCAGGAAAGATGCTGGCTTTAGGATCCAACATATAGAAGGAAAACAAATCCTCTGAGTGCTGTTTTAGACCCTCCTTTACTGGCTTCTTGTCATTGTCACTTGGTTTCCTTTCTAATATTGCATTTATCAGCTGCATGACACACTGTTGACTACCATCATTTGCCATTTGAATCATTTTGTTTATTTTTAAAAAGCTAATAAAGTAACCTAATCAGAACATCTAGAAACGAACATTTGGAGGATGTTCTAAAATCTTGCAAAATGAATCATTATAGCTGTTTTTTTGTTTTTGTTTTTTTTTTTTTTTACTGCGATAGCACATTAATATTTAATTTAAGAGCACTTTATACTTACGGGTCAGATGCTTTCCACTAAATCTTGTACCTAAGTTTTGCAATGGGCTGCTCCATTATATATAATTTTTGGTTTTGCTTATAAGCCTTTTCACTTTGACAACCTGAAAACATGATATATTCACTTTTTATGAAAATGCATAGTTTATTCTTTTAACATGTATTTTTTGTGACCTTTTCTTTAAAATCCTTTTTTAAGGCACTGTATCAACAAATTTGGTGAATGTTCATACCCCTCAAGGTGTCTGAAGGGGAGGCCAAAGGGATCACTGATAAAGACAATGACAAGAGATAAAGAGCTTATGAGAGCCCAGTGCTGGTAGAGGTGGGTTCAGTTGTCCAGGGTAGAAAGACAAAAGAGGCATGACCCTGAATCGAATGCTATAGCTTTGATGAAGAGCACTATTGATGTGTATTGGAGGCAGTCTGAAGACAAGATCTCTGTGCTGACAAACTCACTGAAATTCGGATTTGAAGTTTTTCAAAAAGTGGTATAATTAAGGGAGATTTGAGTAGGACACCTACCAGTGGCTCTTAACTTTATCTCAGCCAATCATCTTTTGGAGGTTTTAGAGTATGAGCTTCGGGAGAGCACCATGTCTTACTTTGACTTTTCCATCAAGTTACAGTGCCTTAGAGAGAACTAGAGAGCAGTGCACAGATCTGTTCCTTTGATGTTTTTAGTACACAGAAGAATAACATAAAGAGTGTGGCTATGCATTGTAGAATCTTGGAACTGGAAGGGATATTAGAAATGACATGTTTCAACATGTCATTTTGTACTTTTATTTTACTGGTGGAGAAGATAAGACCCAAGAGGGCAAGTGTGTTGGTGATGGTCCACAGTGATTCGGAGCTCGCGTCAGGCATATAGGCCTCGTGATCTTTGTGGACAACCTAGCGCTTCATGTACTGAGCACCCTCACTGCGTCCCCTCCAAACCCCAATTCTGTACTCATTTTAAAACATAAAGCAAATCTTGCCATTCTGCGCCAGATTCACAGCACATTGAGCATAACATGCAGACTCCTTCCCAGGCCCATGTCATCTGGCACCTGCTTCGCTCCACCCGTCATCTCCCATCATTCTCCCTCCTACCTCATCCCGTCCCATCTCAGTGCCTTCCTGCTGTTCCTCAAACATGGAAATTCTTTTCTTTTGAGGGACTTTGTAGTTATACCTTCTATTGCCTTTGCCTGTAGTGTTTTCTCTCCCCAAATCTTTCCCTGGCTGCTGCTTTCTGATCATTCATGCCTCGGAAGAAGTATCACCCTCCTAGGAAGAAGTAATCTGTCTTCCCCTGATTCACTGTTCTCTTATTTTGCCTTATTTTTGGCTAAGTGACATTTGCTTTCTGCCAAATTCCTCTAAGGAGGTAGGGACTTTGTCTTGTTCACCCCAGACTCTCAAATATGCAGAACACTGTCTGGTACATAGTACATGCTCAATGAATACTTACTGAGTGAACACTAGGGCAAGAGACCAAATGCTGGCAGATTGGATTGACTGGAGTTTGGTACATGAGCGTTTAGGGCCTCTTTGTGTTCCTTCATCCTTAACTGTAAAGTGAGTTTGCAACTTACAGGTCTGTGGGGAGAGCAAACAAATGGTGAGGGCACAGATGCCTGTTTGTGGTTGTTATTGATTGGTCTGTGCTCCTGAGGCTCCAGGAAAGTCCAGGTCCTCTCAGGTGATGCTACCTTTGATGTCCTCCCTTTGCAGAAACATGCCCTGCTCTGTGGGGGAAGAGGAGTGGACCACCGCTCCGGTCCCCCAGACCATCATGGACCTCTTCCAAAATGGGAACTGGACGATGGAGAACCCCTCACCCACCTGCCAGTGTAGCAGTGACAAAATCAAGAAGATGCTGCCGGTGTGTCCCCTGGGGGCAGGGGGGCTGCCTCCTCCACAGGTGAGTCGCTCTCCGTGTGACTGAGCAGATGGCAGTGCAGGCGGGCTGGGAGCTTCTGCTGGGGAGGAAGGAATGGCTGAGCTATCCTGTCAGGGGGTTGTCTTTCAGTCTTGAGCTTAATTCTTATCGGAGAGAATAGCATGTGGGTTTTGAGGGGAAGGGACTTGGTCCACAAGTTCCTATACCTTAGTGTAACTTGTTTCTCTATTTTGAAAAGTCAGCCTGGCTTACTTACTTGTTTGAGTTAAAACCAGATCTCAGCACTCTGGATCCTTGGGCTGTGGAAGGCACAGTCTGGTTTCTCCCACTGAGGTAATGTGACACAGCATCTTGTGACTGACCCGGCTCCATCCCTGCTTGTGCCACAGATGAGCTGGTGACCCCAGACAGGCCGCTCAGCCCCTGGGCCTGTTTCCTCACCTCTGAATTAGGGAGGCAGGCCCATGAGACTTCTGTGGGTCTTAAAACTCTGACATTCTCTGAGACTGTGAGTGTGGGGAGCAGTTCTGAGCCTTTTTCTGAGAACAGTTTTAGGAAGAGGCTTGCTTGTGGGCTCCCTCTGTTGCTTTATCAGCATCTAGGTTGCAGGGTGAGGACAAGCAATTGTAAATGGGTGTGAAAACTTAAGTCCTGGTTACTTCTCTTTAAAGTTAAGGGTGAATCTATTCATCATTATAACTCCAGTGAACCAAAGTAGTCTCCGGGTGTAGGTAGTGATACTGCTTCCTGAGAGCCTTGGTGACTGTAACAAGTCATGTTCCACTGTCTATTGTTGAATAGCTCAGGATAATTTCCTGGGGGACATCTTGGCTTGGCATAAGTGAATGGCCAATGGTGAGGGCAGAATGGACTAGACCTTGGTGTTTGGCTGATGGCTGCACCTTGGCTCTGTGGCAGGGTCTGGTCACACTGTGATCCACTTTCTAGGGACATGTGTCACTGTTATCCATTTTGTTTTCTGCTCCAGTTGTGCTACCTAAAGACACATGTGCTTTCTTTAAATTTGCAGAGTTCTAGTTCAGTCATGTTATGAAATAAGGTGATTTTTAAATTGGTTTTATTCAAAGTATGAGTCTCCTGTCCTAGTTATACTTTTCTTCCAAATCAGGTTCCCAGAGAGTTGTGTGGATTCCAAGACACTTTTTCAGTTTTCACTTTTTACATGGACCAAAGACGGATTGAAGAAATGGTATTAAAACTACCTATTTTCCTTGTTTTTTTCAACCCATTTCTTCCTTTGTGCTTTGAAGGATCAGGTGGGACTAAGAAGAAGAGGAGGAATCCTTGAAGTCTTTTCATACCTCCTGGAAAATGAGATACCTTATACGGCTGCCTCAAAGCTTAGCTCTGTCACTGTTTCCTACTTTTCCTCCTTTGTCTTTTCCCCAAGAGCTGGTACCCATAGAACTCTGAACAGTGCAAAGTGGGACCCCTAAAGTGGCCCTTCTGCTAGGAAAGCACCATAGCTTTCTATCCAGCCCTCTCTAGCTTACTGTGGTCAGTGTCCTTCACTGTTTTGGCTCCCCAACTGCCTGCTTGAGACCTGTGTTCAGGCCTGAGCTACCAAAGTCAGAGGAGCATCAGAGACAAATAACCATTCTTTCCTCAGTGTCCATAATCAGGCTCAGGTCTCTTCTCTTTCCTACTGGAGCTTCTCTTAGCAACCTGGGCAGGAACTGTTAGAGTCAAAAGTTTGCCAGAATCCATTAGAGGTGGCTGTGATGTAACTTTCACAGATTCTAACTTTGAATTTTCTTTGAAGAAGAAATATCTAAATGAAACATGTAAATATTCATGTGGAGTCTGCTGCTGAGTGGTGGTATTTTCCACACTGTCTACATTTTATATCAGGTTGTTATATAGGTTTGGTGGGTTTTGCCTGGGTGCCAGTAATTCTCAGTCACTTCCTCTGAGTCAAAAGATTCCAGTAAGCAAGTAAAGAAACACTTGAAGTTGGCCAGCGTACTTTATCTAACCCAAGACTTGTCAGGAAGGTGGGCCCCGAGTTGCTGGTATGTGGGAATTATTGTAGGTCACTCAGATCATAAAGCAGCTTATTTACAAAGCCATCACTAGTATTTAGTAATCTTGTGGCAGCCAGGACTGAGCTACTCTATTTAATATTTCAAAGTGTGTATCTTGTATATGGAGCATAGCAGTTATTCTTTCTCTTCTACACAGTATCAATATAGGTCGTTAGGAATTTTATAAAAGAGCCTTTGTGGGATGCCTGAGTGGTTTAGTCAGTTAAGCATCAGTCTTCGGCTCAGGTCACGATCCCAGGGTCCTGGGATTGAGCCCCACGTGGGGCTCCCTGCTCAGTTGGGAGGCATTTCTCCTTCTCCCCCTCCTCCATTTGTGCTCTTTCTCTCTGTCTCAAATAAATAAAAAAATCTTAAAAAAGAAGAGACCCTTTGTAATGGGCTTATAGGATCATTCTTATAACCAGAGTCTTAGAATTTCTTTTTTTTCTTTTAGAACTTCTGTGTCTAGTAGATTGATATACTATATACTATTGTTTTAAGTTTATCTATAGCTGGAAGAATTTCAGTAGTTTCACATTAATATTTCTGTACTTACTAAGTTTTTAAGCCATATTTTATGTGTGAGAAGTTACAACCTGCAGCTCTTATAAGGTCAGGAACAGTGGACCAGAGTGAATGCCATTTGGCCACTCTCAGGCCAAGCAGGGGGAGCAGCAGAGGGAGAAGAAGAGGGAGGAGCAGACTTTCCACTGAGCAGGGAGCCTGATGTGGGGCTGGGTCCCAGGGTCCCAGGATCATGACCTGAGGTGAAGGCAGATGCTTAATCCAGTGAGCCATGCAGGTGCCCCAGTACTGGACTTTTTAACCCAGTGAGATGTTATGCATTTGTTTTTCAGATTTTTGACTTGAAAATAATCATGTTTAAACTCTGAGTAAAAGAAATGTATTTATTTATTGAACAGATGTTTCTCCCTGGGCTATTCATCAGGTGTGTGTGTGTGTGTGTGTGTGTGTGTGTGTGTGTATGTGTCCTCCTTGATTGTGTTCTCAGCTGCATCAGTGACTCTTCAGATCTTCACTGACTTTCTCTCTGCAGGAGGAGCATGTCATGGACATCCTTGTGTCCATCTGTGTCATCTTTGAGATGTTCTTCGTCTCAGCCATCTCTGTTGTGTTCCTGATCCAGGAGTGGGTCCGTGAGGTAGAGCACCTGCAGTTCATCAGCAGAGTGTAGACTGTCACATACAGGCTCTCCAGTTTTGTGTGGGACATGGTAAGAACACCCACCTGCTGCTGCTTTCTAAATCTCCGTGTCAGGGCTATGGATTGGATGAAAGAGCCCCTGTCTCTTCTAAGTGTTCTAGCTAATCTAAACATGAATGAAAAAGGGAAAGGCAGAAGCAGCTGTACGTTTTCATGACACAGAGCTGATCTTATGCCAGAGAGAATATCTGTTTACACCAACTGCAAATAACACTACTGTCACCTAATTTGCTAAGTGACAACTTTTAAAGAAACACGGAGGTAGAAGACTCTTAGTCAAAACTCAAAACCTCTCTGATAGGTTTTTACCTCCAGAGTTAGGATTTTGTTTGCCTCACTAGGAAATGTATCTGTCTTTCTTGAGGACCAGGTAAGTGAGAGGTGAGTATGCTTCCTGTTTTTCAGTTTTCTCTCAGGCAGCTAATAATTTAATATGTTGTATTTGCAATATATATTGGAAACATAAAATCATATAGCTATAAATATAGACTACCAAGAGAGCCTGGAAGTACCAAATATAGTTTAAGAATGCTGAGGTACTCAACTAAAATAAAAAAGTTTTCTGGTAGAAAAATCCTAGTACATCTGTGACAGCAGTACTAAAGAAATTCTCCTTGTAGGGTTATTAGAATGCTATTTACTTGAAGTAACTTAATACTTACAATAAAGACAGCATATTTATTTATTTAATTTATTCTTTAAAATATTTTTTTCTTTATTTGACAGAGAGAGTACAAACAGGGGAAGCAGCAGGGAGAGGGAGAAACAGGCTCCCACTAAGCAGAGAGCCCAATATGGGGCTCGATCCCAGGACCCTGGGATCATGATCTGAGCCAAAGGCAGCCGCTTAACTGACTGAGCCACCCAGATGCCTCAAGACAGTGTATGTATTATTGTCTCATTATCTTATAGCAACACAATAGTTCCAGGTAAGAGGATACAAATATAAAACACACAAAAAAAGACTCAATTTATTTGAAGGCTTTTATTAAGGCAAACATTTTCATAACCATAAATATCTCATTATCACAGATAGATTGTTCCAGGTATCTTCGTTAAATAGTAATCCAAAGTGAAGTAATAGAAAAATAAATTGTAAATGAAGGTATTTCAGCATATAAACCAATGAGTCTTCAACAGTTTTTAATAGGATCTAATAACATTATTTTCCACATAGGTAATTATTAATGTAAAAACCAGAATTAATAGAGATGATACAGATGATACTGTACTTTTCCATAATAAACATGTTTAATATTTTTATGAATCCCATTCAGTATTACAAAATAAATTTTACTGGACAAAAACTTTTAAAATTTCAGAAAAATAGACATGAGAAGGATGCCAATGTATATAAATAATTTAAAAATATTACTATAGGCATGGAAATGTGACATAGTCACTTCAACATAAGGAAATGCTATAAAAGCAGAGGGTTGTCAAAACACAGTACAAGAGACACTCTGAAACAATGAAAAACCAAGATCTTGTAGGAATGACAAGAATTTTTAATGTATGACAGATACTAAAATGCCAAACGGAAAATGAACAGAACTATTTCCTCATGGTAGTGACAATGGGCAGACCAGCTTTTAAAAATGCAAAGGACATAGCAAATTAACTTACCACCTCCTTCAAATAAAAATGAGAATCTCTTGGGAGAATTTAAGCACCATAGCAGGCACATCTTATAACAGTTAGTGAAATGCTTTGTATTTCAATGGAAAACTATTTCAATGGTGAAAATGACATAGGAATCAGAAACATATTCTGCTGAGACTCAAGGAAGTTAACACTTTCCCGAACTGGAAAAAAAAAACATTCCATAAGAAGGCATATAAAGTTAAAAACTGAATCAAATTTGTTGTATGAATAATTCATGCCTGGAGAAATAGCTTACCAGCTGCCACAACCCTGGGATCCTCATGAGACTGATGTCTCCCAGCTGCACGACTGTCTGCACTCTCATTCCACCAAAGAACGTGAACTGCAGAAATAAACCAAAAATAGCTTCTAAAGACTATGGTGTTACTACAAGTAAGAAATAGAGAAAAATTAATCAAATATTAAGTCTTGTTCTTTAAATCAAAATAGTGAATAACAGAAAGGTAACATTAAGTATGTTATAATAAGATTTCAGAGGGGGTGCGCCTGGGTGGCTCAGTGGGTTAAAGCCTCTGCCTTCGGCTCAGGTCATGATCCCAGGGTCCTGGGATCGAGCCCCGCATCGGGCTCCTTGCTCAGCAGGGAGCCTGCTTCTCTCTCTGCTTCTGCCTGCTGCTCTGCCTGCTTGTGTTCTCCCTCTCTCTCTCTCTCTCTGACCAATAAATAAATAAAAATAAAAAACAAAAAAAGTCTTTAAAAAAAAAAGATTTCAGAGGGGGTCAGAGATTTGGGAGAGAAATTTATAAATTAATTAATCAAACAGGTTTTATAGATGAAGAAACAGAAGGCTGGAAAGGTAAAGTAAATAACACTAAACACACAATTAAGTCTAGAATGAGGCTTCATGACTTTCTAATACATTTTAGTTTATTTAAAAAAGGAAGATTATAAAAATTGTGTTTACTAATGAAAATTTGATGATATGAAGAAGCAAATTAAAAGTAGCATAATTTTAACCATTTCGAGAGAACCTCTATTGACATTTAGCACATTTCCTTTAAACAAATGAGTAAAATCAAATTAGGGTCATACTATATATTACACTTAACAACAGATTCAACAATGCATATTTCCCATGGCAGTAACCTTAATTTTTAATGGCTATGTGAATTCTTCCCTATAGATATAAGAACTTCTTATCCAAACCCCTGACCAATTAGATTAATATATTATTTTTTTGAAATATGGAATATTTTTGTGCATAACATTTTATAAATTTTTAATTATTACAAAGTAAGATATGTTAGCTGTATAGGAAAATGTGGATAAAAAGAGAAAAGAGGAGTCATTTCTATACCACCTAGAAAAAAAACGCTTTTGTATTTTCTGTATTTCTCTCCATATTTATGTGTATATATACATGTACTTTTATGAATATTTATACACAAACATAAAAGTTTGTGGTTATATAAATACATGATGTAGATGATACATATATTTTTTCTGGATTATATTCATATTACATAAAAATGTTTCTTTATTGTAAACAATGCTGACATAAACATTAGAGCAGCATCTAAACACGTATCTGTAATAATTACAAAGCTGATGACGACTACTATTAATATTTCTTGGGTGTTGATTATGTGCCAGACCTGGTTTTAAGCATTTTGCATGTATTAACTCATTTAGTCTTCATAATAATTTTAGATGGTTGATTATTAGTATCATTTTATGGATGAGGAAACTAAGGCACAGTGAGGTTAAGTAACTTACCCAGGGTCACAAAGTTATAAGTGGTGAAGCTGGGATTCAAACCCAGGCAGTCTAGATCTGAATATTTTCTTAATATAAACTCCTAAAATTTAAATTGAGAGAACCAAACAGTATATCTTATATATATAGACATTTATAAATATACAGTGTATATAATATACACTGTCCTCCAGAAATGATGTACCGATTTATACTCAGCATACTACCATTCTCCTAGTACACTAAGAATGGATTAAGATTAAAAAGTGTGTGTGGAGACACATTTTCTTTCTTTTTTTTTTTAAGGATTTATTTTAGAGAGAACACACACGTGCATGAATGGGGGAAGGGCAGAAGGTGAAGGAGAGAGAGAATCTCAAGCAGACTCCCTGCTAAGTGCAGAGCCTAATTCAGGGTTTAATCTCATGACCCATGAGATCATAACTTGAGCCAAAAATCACAAGTTGGACACCTAACTGACTGAGCCACACAGGTGCCCCAAGGTTACAGTGTGTGCACACATATTTTTAATAACTTAATCCTTGCAAAAATTATACGTGTCCATTATAGTAAATTAGAAATGTTAAAAAATCTTTAATCTCATTATTTAAATATGGCTATATATTTTATGTCATTTCAAATTTCCTTCTTGTATAACTAAACACACCTACATCTCCATGCATATTTCCTTAATATTGGCAAAGATGATTCAAAAAATTAAGGTTTTTTGCCCAAGGCAGCCTCAGACTGGCCTCTTAACAACACAGGAACCAAACCCTGCCCACAATTGGCAAAAATCACCATTGCAGCAACTGGACTGAAGGCAAATGTGGCTCAGCCACAATAGTACGGTGATACAACATTAAGAGTCACTCTGGAAGGGCCAGTGAACAGGGGACACTGCACTGCAGAGCACTACATAACCTGTTCTTCATAAGGCCATTACTTGCCTAACACATAGAAACAGACACAGAGAGTTAGACAAAATGAAGACACAGAAGACTATGTCCCAAATGAATCAACAGGACAAAATCCAGCCAGAGAACAAAATGAAACAGAAGCTACATACCTGATAGAGAATTTAAATTATGCTCATAAATATACTCACTGGACTTGAGAAAATATCTCAGTGAGACCCGCAAAAAAGAGACAGAAAATATAAAAAAGAGCCAGGGAGAGATGAACTCTGTAAGTGAAATTAAAAAACACACTAGAGGGAATATATAATATATTAGAGGAATAATATTAGGGACCAATAAGCTGGAAGACTGTAATGGAAAACAATCAAGCTGAATAGGAGAAAGTGAAAAGATTAATTAAAAAAATGAGAACAGGTTAAGGGAACTCAGTGACACGGTCAAGTGTGATAACATTCACATTATAGGGATCCCAGAGAAACGAGACAAAAGAGCCAGCAAATTTATTTGAAGAAATAATAGCTGAAAATTGGAGAAGGAAACAAATTCAGATTCAGGAGGCACAGAGAATGTCCAACAAAATCATCCCAAGGAGGTCCACATCAAAACACTAATTAAAATGGCAAAAGTACTGAAAAAGAGAAAAATTCAAAAGCAGCAAAGAA